AGAGCATGCAGCGTACATTGTGGTACTGCAGATGGTTTGACGAAAGGAGCTATTATACATTGAGAGGCCGTTGCAGAGAGGCAAAGGTGAATTCTGGAAGTAATATCAATATGAATTATTAGCCCTGGGGTATAATATTAATTATTGAAAAAGTACATTTTGTACCACATACACTTTATTTTTAAGATATTTTATTCAGGTTTATCTGGAATAATGTTTGTTCATAAAGTGCATTTGTGACATTGTCCTGCAGCCAAAAAATGTATAGGTTATCATTTTTGCCTAATAAGTAAGTGAACTGAGCTTTGATCCCCGTGGTTAAAACTATTGTGATACATTACTCCATTTCATTTATAATTTTGTTGCAGTCTTAACAGTAGTAACAATGATGATGAGTTACTTGTCTTTTCAAACACGCTGATGCTTGTGATCAACAACAGACAAATGCACAGTTGCTGAAGTTCAAATAATTGGAAAGTTGACTTCATGCAACATCTAAGCATTTCAGGTGTTGCAAAAAGTTTTGAATGCATTTTATATGTACAATTCTTTACAAATCTGTCATATGCAATTTATGAAGTTAAATCAGTTTGTTTTAAGTTCACAATTTAAATTATTTACTAAACAAGAAATAGTAGATAACGGAACCACCCTGTTTGTAAGTTATGTCTGACAATAGTGGTTCAGCATAGCTAATAGAATTCCTTAAAATAAATGTAAGCAAAAAGTAAATGTAAAAGTAAGTACAGGAACATTTTCTGAATGTTATTAAAAAGTATCCAATGTTAATAGTCAAGAGCAGATGGACAGGACTAAACTATTAAGCAGCACCTGTTCTGCTGTTAAGTTGGATCACAGTGATCTGTACTTCAGTTTCATTTATCCCCCTGTTCTCCATATCATCTGGTAACAATGTTTCTGAAAAGATAAATACAGTGAGTTTTATTTCAATTTGCTATACATTTAAGACTTTTTTGAATGGTATTTAATTTAGTACAAAGCTTGCATAGCATTTTATATGTTGCTATGAAGCCTTGTCAGCAGACAGATTAGCAGAAACATTGTTTGCTATCTTTATTTAATATTAAAAAGAAACTATTGATATCAGTCTTGAAAATTTAAATTGACCCAGTTTCAAAGTACTTTGTAGAAAGAGAGTTCCATGTTTCCACTTATTCAAGGTCAATCATTGAAAGTACATTGTCATCATATATCACAGCTTATAAATTGACTTTTGAGCCTTTAAAAATTCATTCCAGAAACAAGGGTAGTAGGCACTGCCGATGCTGGAGAATGTGAGAATTATTTACTAAACAAGAAATAGTAGATAACGGAACCATCCTGTTTGTAAGTTACATCTGACAATAGTGGTTCAGCATAGCTAATAGAATTCCTTAAAATAAACGCAAGCAAAAAGTAAATGTAAAAGAAAGTACAGGAACATTTTCTGAATGTTATTAAAAAGTATCCAATGTTAATAGTCAATAGTCAATGTTAATATTCAAGAACAGAATCTTCTTTCTGAAGAAGGGTCTCGACCCAAAATGTCAGCTTTCCAGAAACAAGGGTTGGTTTATGTGCCAAGTACAAAATATAAGCCTGCACAGTTGTTGTAGATGATCAGCATTTTGCAATGTGAAAATAAAAAAACAACTTGCAATCCAGATTAAGTCAACCTGGCATGTGCTATTGAATTGGTTAATTCTACAACCATATCTTTAAGCCAGTGCTCAATGTACACAGGAAGGGCAGGCAACTTCAGTCCCAAAAGTCTCCAAAGCCCCTGGGAAAATTCAATCCTTGGTGCGACTGATCAGAGAAATATCAGTCAGGCTGGCTGAGTGGTTCACAGTGGCTCAGTGTTTAGCACTGCTGCCTTGCAGCACCAGGGACCCAGTTTTGATTTCATTCTCAGGTGCAGTGCATACACTACACACTACACACATGTTCTCTCTGTGTCTGTGTGAGTTTCCTCCCACAGTCCAAAGATGTGCAGGGTAGGTGAGTTGGCCATACTAAATTGCCCATAGTGTCCAGGCATGTTTGGGTTAGTTGGGTTAGACATGGGAAATACAGGGTGGGAGAGTGGGTCTGGGTGTGTTGCTCTTTGGAGGGGTGGTGTGGACTTATTGGGATGAATGGCCTGTTTCCACACTGTAGGGCTGCTATGAATTTCTATTCCATGAAAAATGGCTTCTGTGCATAGGAGTACGTATCAGTTATTTTGGGAAAAAATAGTTAACATATGTCCATTGTCTTGTACTAATTTAAATATGCAATGTATAAGAATTTAGAAATTTCCTTGTGCGCTGTGGCTTTAAGTTCAATGGAAGTTGACAATTATTGAGAATATTGATGAAATATTTGAATTCTATTGCTGTGTATGTCCAAATAACCCAATTGTCAACAAAAATACAGAAGGGACAATGTGATTGTAATCAGGTTGTCATACCCCTGATTGTAAGGATGTTTTGATGTTCACGTATGGTTTTTGGTAAGGATCCTACACAGTTTACTAACACCAGACTGAAAAATTCTTTAAAAGCTGGTATGGCTATTGAAGGCATTAGTTTGAGTACATGCCATCTGACATGTTCTACAAAATTGCTGTACACCTTTATGAAATCCTGACCATGTGTAATACCTGATTATTGATGCTTGTGTTTTTCATATTCTCATTTTCATTTCCTGTCTTCTTAATTTGATCTCCCTTTTTATATAATTTTCTGCCATTTCCTTTGCTTTTTCTGCCATTTGTAGTTCTTTCATCCTGTCCTCATGGTCTAGCTGCTTCAACTATAACTGAATATCACCCAATTGTGATATTTCACTACCTGAAGTACTTGACCCTTTTTGTATTTCCTCTAAATCTAAGTGCTGTGCTGCTACTTCAATTATCTCTGCCTTTTTACATCTGTCAGGCAATGCTATCTCTATTTTACCTGCCAAATTAATTCATTTTGAAATTTCCTTTAAAGCTGCCAGTGACAATTGTACCACCTTTAGGAAATCCTTTTCTGTTTCCAATACCTTACCTTAATTGGGACTGATTAGCTCAGTTGGCTGGATAGCTGTTTGTGATGATAAAGTGATGCCAGCAGCTTGGGTTCATTTCTTGCATCAGCTGAGATTATCATGAAGGCTCTTCTTCTCTGCCTGCCTGAGGCACAATAAACCACTAGGTAGGATTATGGTGACTTTACCCATTTGCCTTGCCTTAAGTGCACAGTGGAACATGGCGTTTTCCTTCACCTGTATTATCTATCAATTCACATCAAAATTTTTGTTGCCACTGTTTCCAATCCTACCCACTTCAACTCCAGCATGAGCCTACAACCTTGTTACAACCTACTGGGACAGCATGGTGTAAATCAAGCCCTGCTTTTCTAGGAATCGAGCCAAATGCTTTTTTATAAGGATATGCACAGTACCCAATTTATCTGATTTTTAGATCAAGGTTGATAGATCGCATGGACCAGATTTCTGTACTAAATAAGTACAAGTAATTAGTACAAGTATAAGTAATTACACCATAGCTAAAAGTAAACAGATATAAAATGTTGGCAATATAACACTACTGGCTAAACTCTAATCCCGTTATAGAGTCCCTTTTTCACACAGACAAACAAATAGGGAAATAGATTATTTTGGAGGTAGAGAAATATTTGAAAGTCAGTTCAGTGGTCTTTGCTTCCTGATTCCAATATTGGAGTGATCCTACTTTGCTAGCCAAGCCCTTGGTTTTTAGTTGTCTTTCTCTGGAAGCTTCCACTAGTTTTTAAGAAATATATAGTGACTGATTCACTTGGAAGATATCTCTTATTTATCAATTTATAAGTCACAGTTTAAAGCAACTGCTGCAGGACAAGTAACTGATTTTCTTTAGGTTTAAACTGAGTTTTCTCATTACAGAAAACAGACAGCTACAGACAACATTAAACCCCTCCGTGTCATTCTTTCTCTCTGTCTCTGTGACTTGTTTCCAAGTCCGACCTGTCAACTTAGCTGAGAACAATCAGCTTTTTGTAAACAGCTCCTTGGCTTCTGATCATCTACACATCGCGGAACCCAGAGCCATAAAAAAGAGTTCACAATGGATATCAAATTTCTTGCTGTGAAATTATGTAGCCATCCAGCCAAATCACTGTTTATAAAAGCAATTATTTTCCCTTGCTATCCACAGCCTTTAAAGGCACAAGGATAAAAAGACGTGGTTCTTCTGAAACGCATTGCATTTCTGGTGATGATATAATTAGTTGATGATTATTGAGGACCCATTTTTATATATGCTTTTCAAGATCAGTATGCTAGCTAGCCCCTGTACTCTTGGATCATTTGGACTCAATATTTTCTTCAGGATAGACTCTTTTTTCCATTCTCACATCAGATTTTAACTCATAGCAAATTCCATTTCTGTAGTGCCATTAAATGATGTGTTAGCAAATGTTATGACATTCCTCTTCAAACTAGTTTGGTACTTGATCCTTTTTGCTGGAGGTCCCATTACTTTTCATTGTTAGCTATGCATGGTGTTCTTTGGGTTGGTGTGTCTTAAGTCCCCACGATCTTCTCTTGACAACAAAGCCCATAATGTCTGTTTGATTTCAGTCATTAAATAATAAGGTCAGTAAAACAGACATTTCTGAAATGAAAAATTGAGGCTTACTCCTTAGGAGAAAATGCAGTTGACATATGTGCTGAGTATATGCCTCAATATAATTTTTGATGCTAAAAAGTTAGTTTGACTTGTGTCCCAGGTCAACATGATCTATGGTAATTCAAATACTATTAAAGATATAGATGCTTAATTGAATATCACTGCACATGAAACTGAAGTGAGTGAAATTATATCTGTGCAAGTGTGTTACATTCTCCTTAAGATGAATTCCTGCTGTTGGATTTTTCTCTCAGGTTTTCTTAATATGTCAGCAGCTGGTTCTGTTTGCAGCTCAAAACTAATGTAAACCTCTTTTTGATTATTCTTTTATTTGCTTTTACAGTTAATTTACTAGACTCCAGAGCTGTAATGGGAGATCTGGGATGGATCGCTTATCCAAAGAATGGGGTAAGTCTCTCAACAAGCTCTTTGCCACTAGTTACATTAGCAGCCAATATATTAAGGATTTATTTCAAGGTCTAAAATAAGAAAAAATCAACTGTATCATGAGGTAATTTTAGATTATATTTTTGTACAAGACTTAACCAAACGCAAAGATCTGTTACACAAAGTGCATTTCAGCATGTCCTGTTTTCATGTTGAAGTAAAGGCAGCGACATTGAGCAGTCACAAATCAGGCTGCGCTATCTCAGAAAGTTTCCTAAATATTATAATTACACGTTACTGACCTATGTAAGTAGCAATCATTCTTGCTGACTCACACTGGCTCCCGTTCACCACCAATTTGATTTTAAAATTCTCATAGTTCTGTCCTCTTGTGCATTTCTGAATTGCTTCACCCCACAGTGGCAGTTGTGCCTTCAGTTGTCTGGATCCTTAGGCCTGATATTCCTTTTCTAAAAGTCATTGACTCTCCATCTACATTTCCTCAGTTAAGATTAAACAAAAAAGCAAAACAAAAGACCTCTGGATTCTGTAAATCGGAAACAAAAACAGGAATTGCTATAAAAATTCAGCAGGTCTGGCAGTATCTGTGGAGAGAAATCAGAGTTAACGTTTTAGGTTCAGTAAGAGTTTGTTCAGCAATTTCAGTTTTTGTTCCTCATTTAAGAATAGCGCTTAAAACCTACCAAGCATTTGGTCATTGTCTTAATGTCTCCTTCTTTGTGTCAATGTCTAATTGTGATTCTGCAAAGGGCGTTGGGTGATTTTGTGATTTTACTGATGCTATGTCAATACAAGTTGTTGTATATTGGAACTCATCTCAATTAATTTGGAACTACGTTGCTGTTTCTGGGTCAAAATTATAGAACTCCCCTTCTAGCTGGTTTACCTAGCCCCCAAGGACTATGGAGGCTTTGGGAGACAATTTACCATCATCTTTGTAAGGGCAATAAGCGATGGGCAATAACTAAATCTGTTAATTACATAACTTCAAAGACAATGCTTTTCTGAAGACATGTTTGAAGTTGCGGAATGGAAAACCATAAAACTCATTCCGAATTTCATTCTTGCTGCATATTCTTCAAGTTTTTTTTTGTGCACATAATGAATGTATATCAGAGGAAGTACTATTTACAAGTTTTCGTATTTAGTTGAAGTATAACATGTAAAATCTGTAAATGGAATAATCTGGATAGCAGAGCAAATTGTTGTAAAGGAATATTAAATTTAGCATTTCAAAATTGCTGAATTTTGGTGAAAATTGTTTACATTGTCAGAAAAATAAATTTAATCCCAGCCTTTAAGTGTGAAAGGTAATAGAAATTTCAACATGGCAAATTCTCACATTAAAAATATAAGGCAACTTGACAATTAAAGCTACAAATAATTTGAACGATATTAAAATCAATTTTTTATTGTTTCTAAAAAAATACATTTATTGAAGCTTCTTATCCTGCGCTTACCAGAGCAATAAACATTACATGCCAATGTAAATGGAAAACAGCAGTTAAGTTCTATGAGAGGAGAGGACTCATTGGTTCGCAAGTGGACTCTGATTGGTAGAGGTGTTGCCACTGAAATGCATCAGTTAGACAGTAACTGACAATTAACTGTAAAGCTTTATGTAAATTTTAAACAAAGCAGCTTAACTTTGAATGTCCAAGGAGAATGCTAGGAGAATGAACCAGAGAATGGATGTCAACTGTTTTGTTTAATTGAAACAGGCACACGCTACGTACATATTATTTCTATCTTCAAAGAACAGGGCCCTGTGTATTCATATATGCAGCTTCTAGTAACTACAAGTGTACTATACTGGAAGTATGACTGAGAAGTTATAAATTGTATGTCAGCATAATCCTTCGCTCACTCAGAACTATTTAGCAAATGTTGTCCAACTGTGGAATCACATCTAATGATCAAAATTGTACTTTGCAAAAATGTGCTGGTTGGGTATGGTCAAAAAGAATGCAAACACAGTCTTCACCTATTTCAACTCAACAAGTTAAATATAAACCATTGTCTGGTTCATTTCTCAGGTCAATGCTGAACCAATTGGAATTGGTTTCAAATTTAAACAAAACTTGGCATATACTTTCAGTCACCAACTAACTGATCATTTTTCACGTTAATACCTGTACCAATCAGAGTCCACTTGCCAACCAATCAGCATTCTCGTTTGATACATCGTTTTTTCCCTTAACACTGGGACTTTTGTCAATTGTCCCGATGTGTGCAAAATTTGCAATGTCTAATTCTTTTGCACTAAGTAACTATCAATGTTTATGTTTATTTTTGGCATATTGCAACCTTCCTTCGATGGGAAAGTTTGAGATCCCTCAAAGGAGCAAACATTTTGAACCTTGAAATGCAATAATAGTTCCTTCGACAATGTAGCCCATTTGAGAGTAGCTGTTAATTTAGTACGTGCTGACATCAAACCGTTCAGAGAACTCTAGTAATTTGACTTGCAAGACCATGCCGGTGCCCTATCTTAACTTTGGCACCATTTTTGTATGTGAAAAGACTGGAGACGCTTTGAGAAAAAAGACAGAATATCTCAAATTGTGATGTTGCTGCTGCCCATTTTAAGTTCAGATTCACAGATGCAATATAACTATGAGAAAGTCAAGGGCAAGCTGTTTCAGACAGGCACTCTGCATATAATTTTGAATCAAAATAACACTAAAAAAACCCCAGAAGTATTGATAGATGCCTTTTAATGTGGCTGTTTGGAGTGGAAAGATAATGAAGACATCTTACTTATGACAAAATGGCAAATGGAACTTCGTTCCCAAAAATATGCAATTTCACACGGCATTTTAAAAAGATTGTAGAATAGAATGAAAATCTGACAATGATGCTTTATTGTGAGTAAAAAAAAAATAGATTGCCTTTCATATTGTGTAACTCATTGGAGGAAAATTCCTGCACGGGAGGTTCTATTACCGTACCGCAAAATTCAATTTAATCTTTCAAGATATTAACCACAATAAATTATGTGTACCGTTAAAAACTCTTATGGTGATCAGAAAGCTTGTATGTAATTGTTACATAAAGCACAGTTTCTATTTTGAAATAACTTAAACAATACAAAATCATATACAGATTTTGCTAGAAATCCTATTTTCACTGGTCCTGGGAGATGGTAGCTGAAAGGCTGGCTAAATAATACTATTAAGATCAGCATTCTTTCCTTTGTGTCAGTGTTGGAGTGTTCGAGTTTACACGTGATTTCAATTGTGCTCTGATGTGAAAGAGATAACCTTGCAAACAACAATAAGGCATGCTAGTTGCCCCCCACAAATCCTTTCTGTCTTCCGTTTGCCTTTCAAGTACGTACCACTTAATGTGTTAAACCCATCAATATCATCGTAGCTTTGATTCAGCAGTTTTTTATTCACATTATTTAATCATAGTATATTAAGGGAGGTAGGAAAATGACATGGTTTGAAGGTTTTCAAACACTGCTCTATCTATTCCATTAAGTCACAGTAACTGAAATTTAAGACAATCATTGACAGGCTGTGAAAAAATAACTTGCTCATTCTCACTTAACCTGTGGTTAGCTAAATAACCAGGAAGCTTATAACGTAGCACACCATGTAGTGGCTTCTACTTTAATGGCTAGTTACTCATTGCCATGTCAGAAACTTATAAAAAACAACATATGTAAAACTTACATAAAACAAACATACTTCAACTCTGGGAGAAATATAAGACTGATTTCAAGTATAATGCACAAAGAAATGGCAGTGAGTTAGACCTGAATTGTTTTGGCCAGAAATTTGTCCTTCTTTGATGACAACCAGTAGAATGAAAGATTTCGGTGGGCCAGGAACATCTAGAATGTTCCTGCTGGATTGCATCAATCTGTGCTACAACTTTAATGTATTTTTTACAACGTTTCTTGACAAATTTACACCAGTCCCATTAAAGGCTGTGGATCAGCCGCTTGATGCACAGTTCCATGGGCAAAGTGTATGCTTCACCTGGAGAACATCAGAACTGCAGTAGGACTCCACAAACAGTGTAGGATTCCAACTTAAATATTTTATATTTTAGACGGGAGAGCTGGATGCTTACTTCAGAAGCCCAGGAAATTTGAGCCGATTGAATCGTGGTTGGCTAGTGCAAGGACCTTTCCCACCAGGACACCCCAGTCTACTCTTCCTTCACCCCAACAGCCCCCCACACAACCTCATGCCACCTTCCACTGCAAATGCAGAAGGTGCAACACATGTTCATTTACCTCCTCTCTCCTCATTATCCAGCGGTGCAAACACACCTTCCAGGTGAAGCAGTGCTTTACCTGCACTTACACAATCTAGTCTTCAGCATCCGCTGCTCACAATGTGGTCTCCTCTACATTGAGGAAATTAAGTGTAGATTGGGTGACCACTTTGCAGAATACTTGCATTCAGTTCACAAAAAAAGTCCCTGAACTTCCAGTTGCCTGCCACTTTCTCACACCACCCTGTTCCCTGGCCAACATCTCTGCCTCAGGCTTGCTGCAATGTTCCAGCGAAGCTCAGCGCAAGCTGGAAGGATGACACCTCATTTTCAGCTGGACCCTGCAACTTTCTGGACTCAATGCTGAGTTCAATAATTTTAGGGCTTGAGCTCTGCTATGTCCTCAAACCAGCCGCCAGAGACCAGGTCTTGATATCACACAGTCTGCTATTACAAACCACCCACTAACAGTTCCCATTAGTAGCTATTTACCTCCCAGCTAGATCGTTATCCAATCCTTTGTTTGTCCAGCTGTTCTTCTCTCTCTTTGGGCTCTATCTCCACCTAACACCTGCTCCTTACCTATACCCCTCCAACCCTATTTTCTGCATATAAAGTGACATTTTCCTGGCTGCCATCAGTTCTGAGTAAGGGTGACTTGACCCGAAACGTTAACTCTGATTTCTCTCGACAGATGCTGCCAGACCTGCTGAGCTTTTCCACCAATTTCTATTTTTGTCTCCTTCACCAGCTGCTTTTTAAAACTTTTC